GTGAGAATTTAGGAGCGATTAGGGGCTCGGAACTCGCAAGGGAGAAGGTTGGAAGTTGCGGCTTCAGACTCCCTTTCCCGTCTCCCTTTTCTTTTAAATTTAGAATTTTAATATCAAAATTGAATATAAATTGGACAAAATTATAATTAAAATCGAAGGCCCAACCCACTGGAAGCCAAGCCCATGGGCCAAGCACCCGTAAGGCTGGGTTTTTCTTTTTACATTTTAAATTAGGTTTTTCTTCGTGTCACAAACGATGCCGCTAAATGAAATTAAAGAATTTTAAATTAGGAATAACTAATCATATATCGGGTCATCCTTATCCGGGATTTGTTGTCCATGACTGCATGTTCGTTCCATGGCAAACCCTTGCATTATATTATATCATTACTTTCATGATGTATGCCACTTTTGGTAAACCTGAAATGATTCAAAATATACGATGGGAGAGTGGAAGTGGCAGGTTATTTCAAGCCTCATGTTTCCTCTTTGCTTAATCTTTAACATTATTTTTTTCATTTCTTTCAATCTTGCTTCAAAACTAGACGCTCTTTCTAAGATCTCTCTCCTTCCTTTCTTAAAACCTCTCGCTTAAAGTGGGGCCAAAGGGGCTTGATGCATATGATTTCGAGTTGGCGACTCACTCAGTGAAGTTGCACAATCGAATCACATTTTTACTTTATTAAACTTCTACACCAGTTGTGATATTTTAGAACAATTTAGCTTAAAACCTATCAATAACAACTTGTGCAAACAACCACTCAAATTTTAGGTGACAGAGTGTGAGAGTAAATGGCGCATATTCTATATTTAGAAGTTATAATTCAGTGTATATTTACACACTCGTCGTAATACAAATTTATAAATAAATTATTGAGATAAACATTTCCTGTTTTTAATGGCCAACTAAGAAAAGGAAGTTAAATTTGTGGGTCCAACAATTGAAGGATTAAATATTTTGGTTATGTTTACATTTATAGAAGGTTGTTTGAGTTATGATTCCCAAAAATGTCGCAATCTTTAAAAGAATAAAAAACTGAACTGTTTTAAGGCCCTAAAAGACAGTCATGAACCAATTCAAAGGCCAACCATTATAGTCGCAGCTTTCTGCTGGCTTTCCTTAAAAATTATAGCCTCTACTTTTTCATTCCTATGAATACATCCAATTCTCACCCGCTTCAGGTTTGAATATCCAAGTCACGAACCATTGGTTGTACGTTGATGATGAGGACATTGAGATGCTCTACCCTTTTCGTCTTTGTTGTGTTCTTCGTAGGATGCCTTGGCGTCGAAGAAAACAAGGAGGAGAAGGTTTTTGATTGAGTTATATTTGTTTATGAGGCATTTTAGTGTTTCTTGTCTGATCATCCTGTGGCCGTGTTTTTTGCAGAAACATTTCATTGTCTTTCTGGAGAACCAACCTATTCTGACTGAGGTTGATGCAGTAGACAATCATCTCAATGTCCTCATGTCACTCAAGGAAAGGTGGGTTTTGTTATATTATTCTGAAACCAACCCAAATCCTAAAATCATTCCATTTTTAAACCCTTTCCTTTTACAGCCATGTGGAGGCAAAGGAGGCGATGGTGTATAGCTACACCAAAAGCTTCAATGCTTTTGCAGCCAAGCTTACAGAACAGGAAGCCAACACATTGTCAAGTAATGAATTGGACTTCCATTTTTTGTTCATTAATTTCCCAACCTTTCCTTCATTTTTTATAATATAAATGGGTTTGATGTAGAGAGGGGCGATGTGACTCATGTGATCCCAAACAGACGTAGACAGATTCAAACCACCCGATCATGGGACTTCATTGGATTTCCTTCCCATGCAAAAAGACTGCCCAACCGGGAGTCTAACATTATTGTGGGTTTATTTGATACGGGTAAGGAATACATCGGCAATGAGACTCTCCAAACCAATTTATAATTGTGTTTATAATTGTATTTGCATGTTGTTAAATAGGGATCTCCCCAACAGCCGATAGCTTTAAAGATGATGGGTTTGGTCCTCCACCTAAAAAATGGAAAGGCATCTGCCAAAAATCTGCCAATTTCTCTGGTTGCAACAAGTAAAATTTCATGTCATTTTTGTTACTTCAAATCTTACATTTTCATGGCTTTACTTCTCACTTCTTCCTCCTTCATCCCTTTGTTTGTTGGTCTGAAGCAAACTCATTGGAGCTAGATATTTCATGCTCGACGGCAGCGCTGAACCCCTAGACATTATGGCACCGGTAGACGTCACCGGCCATGGAACGCACACGTCCTCAACAGCGGCAGGCAATGTAATTGCTGGAGCCAGTCTCTCTGGTCTGGCCAAAGGAACAGCCCGTGGTGGTGTGCCATCTGCAAGAGTTGCCATGTACAAGGTCTGCTGGGTCGGTGTTGGGTGCACTGATATGGATATTCTGGCTGCCTTCGACGCTGCCATAGACGATGGCGTTGATGTCATTTCGATATCGATCGCAGGCACCGGCTACAACAATTACTCTGAGGACGTGATGGCCATTGGTGCCTTTCAGGCCATGCAGAAGGGCATCATCACTGTGGCCGCCGCTGGCAACACTGGTCCGGCAACTGGCAGTGTCGTCAACACCGCGCCGTGGATTGTGACGGTTGGTGCCAGTACGATTGATCGGGAATTTGTCACTAAGTTGGAGTTGGGCAATGGGTGGAACATCTCTGTAAGTTTATTGCATGAAAACTTCTTTATTTAGTTCTGCAATCTTCGTTCACTAGATCTAATGAAGTCTTTTTAGAACTCAACATACAGCTTTATGCAAAATTTGAGAGCATCAAAGCCAAAATAGTTGGTAGATACATTATAGTTTAAATGGGTCAAAACGCGATTTTTAGCAATGATGTTTGAATTCCAGTTGTATTGTATGAATTGTATATGAACAGGGAGTAGGAATAAACCTATTCAATGGACAACCAAAAATGTACCCTTTAGTTGATGGAGGCGATGTGGCCAAGAATCCAGGGGACAAAACCAGTGCGAACTTTTGCATGGAGGGTTCACTTGATCCAACCAAGGCCAATGGCAAGCTTGTGTTCTGTCAATTGATGATCTGGGGCGCTGATTCCGCTGTCAAAGCAGCTGGTGCCCATGGCGCTGTGATTCAAAGTGATCAGTACTATCTTGATCATACCGATCTCTTCATGGTTCCAGCCACCTTGGTTAATAGCACCATTGGTCAAACCATTGAAGCCTACATAAAGTCCACTAAGTAAAAGTGTTTACATTTTGTGCTTTTTCTAATTTTGGTTTATGTGTTGGTGGCGTTAACAATTTTGGGTACTGGAATTGATTTGAATGCAGAACACCGACGGCAATAGTATACAGAACAGTGCAACGGCAAGCAGCTGCTCCATTCGTGGCTTCCTTCTCAGCTAGAGGCCCAAATCAACGCTCCCGCTTCATTCTAAAGGTATATAAAAATAAAAAATTGATTCCCTTTAGTTTAGATAAATAAATAGTATATATGTGGATGTGTTGCAGCCGGACATAGTCGCACCAGGAGTGAACATATTGGCAGCCTACACACCACTGAATTCACTGACGGGGCTCAAGGGTGACACCCAACACTCAAAATTCTCTCTCTTGTCTGGCACTTCAATGGCCTGCCCTCACGTGGCCGGCGCCGCCGCCTATGTCAAGTCTTTCCACCCTCATTGGTCTCCCGCGGCCATTAGATCCGCCTTGATCACCACGGGTACCCGCTCTCCTTCTATTCTGTTCAATTAATTACAATTGGAGGTTGTTAGACAGTAATGTTTTTAACTATCTGTATTATGAAGCGAAACCTCTAAGGCGAGTACAGAGCCCGGATGGGGAATTCGGGTACGGTGCGGGACTTCTAGATCCAGATAGAGCCAGAGAACCGGGGCTAATCTACGAGGTGGACAAAATGTCGTACATCCAACACCTTTGCAAACAAGGGTACAACGGATCTTCAATTTCCATCCTCACCGGAGCAGGACCCGTAGACTGCTCCACTCTAATCCCCGCCCAGGGCCAAGACTCTCTCAACTACCCAACCTTTCAACTCAGCCTCAATAAAACTCGACACCCGACAACCGCCGTCTTCTGGCGACAGGTCACCAATGTTGGTCGTCCGGCCTCCGTCTACAAGGCTACCATCACGGCTCCCCCTGGGGTCAAGATCACAGTGGAACCAACGTCTCTGTCGTTCTCGTCTTTGCAGCAGACGCGGAGCTTTAAGGTGGTTGTGAAGGCCAATCCTTTGCCGCCGCAAAACATGGTATCTGGTTCGCTTACGTGGGCTGATGCTAACTATGTTGTCAGAAGTCCGATTGTTATTTACACACACGAGGACTTTGGACATGATGAGGGTTTGATTGTATGAAGCTTATGTGTTGGACTAATCTGTCTATCGATGGCCAAAAAAAAAAAAAAAAAAAAAATTAACATGATTATTAAAGTTTTTTTTTTTTTTGATAAACTGGAAAGGTGCTCGTTCTTCGTAAACTCTAATCGTACATCATTTCTCGTGATACTCTCGTGCCATAATGGAAATAACGCTTATGAAAACTGAAAAGATATGATTAGAGAAGATAAGTTGTGTAATCTGGTTATTTAATCTAATTAGGTAAGGATGATTTGATTCATTTTGAGCTTAGATATTCAACCCAAGCAAGATTGGAAAAGAAACAGGTCATTGATTCCCAATTGGGTTGGCTAGTTGGGATCACTTGAATAGAGAATTGACTTAAGGAAGCAAAAACAGGGGAATTGGAAAAGGTGTATAAACTATTCCACTCACTTTTGAGACAGACATCCATCTCCTTCTCTCAATCCCACAGGAGGGTCGGTGTGTGTTACAAAATGGGATTTTTTTTTAGTGGTAAGGCGTGCGCTACGCCACTAGAGGGATCCAAAACTAATCCCTCCAATGATTGTGTATATATAGAAACCCTCTGCTTCTCTCAACTGCACCCTCTTCCTGCTTCACACAAGCACAGTGAGTAAAACTCTCTCCCCATCTCTTCTAGAAAACAATGAACCTTTTCTTTTCTAATGTTTCTTCTGCATGCATCTTTACATGAAGCTTTGTAATTTGTTGAATTTGCACTGAAAATAAAAGATTACGTAAAACCAATACTAAAAAACCCTGAATGCTCTGATGATATGTTTGGTCGTTTTACTGTTGTGTATAGCCACACAATGGGGTTTAGAGAAGTATGGGTGTTGTGCTTGTCAATCATGCTTGCAGCTTCAGCTGCTGCTGTGGATCAACAGACCTACATTGTTCACATGGACACCACCAAGATGGTGGCCACCACCAGCCCTGAACAATGGTACTCAGCCATGATTCATTCAGTCAATAAAATCTCATCTCTACACCAAGATGAAGAAGAAGCGTCAAATGCTGCTGAGATTCTCTACGTCTACAAAACTGCTATTTCAGGTCAGCTTTAAAAATGTAAAGCTTCGAACTTATCTCTTTTGAAAAAAAAAAAAAAAGTTGTTTTCTTTACCGAGGATTAATCCAAAACTAAGGCTTAATCCTTGTTAAGTCGTTAATAATGATATTTTGTTGACATCTTTTATCGTTAATATTAATAATTAACTCGTCTGATTTCAGGTTTTGCTGCCAAACTCACCACCAAAAAGCTTCATTCTTTAAGTAAGATCCCAGGCTTTCTGGCCGCCACTCCTGATGAACTACTACAGCTACACACCACCCACTCCCCTCAGTTTCTGGGCCTACACAGAGAGCATGGCCTTTGGAATTCTTCAAACTCAGCTTCTGATATAATTATTGGTTTGATTGATTCTGGCATTTGGCCTGAGCATATAAGTTTTCAGGACAAGGGTCTGCCCCCAGTGCCTAAAAAATGGAAAGGCGCTTGTGAAGCAGGCCCAAAGTTCTCACCTTCAAATTGTAACAAAAAGCTCGTTGGAGCAAGAGCCTATATTGATGGCTACGAGGCCATTGTCGGTCGATTGAACGTAACGGGAACGTTTCGATCGCCTCGAGACTCGAATGGGCATGGCACACACACAGCGTCGACTGCTGCTGGAAATATTGTGAACAAAGCAAGCCTCTATAGCCAAGGCAAGGGGGTAGCCACTGGCATCAGTTTCACTTCAAGGTATCAAATTTTTGTTGACAATATTTCTATCATACCTTGTTCACAAACTACATAACAATCCTGTTTCACTCCAGGATCGCAGCGTACAAAGCATGTTGGCCAATGGGGTGTGCCAATGCCGATATTTTGGCAGCCATGGACCGTGCAGTCGCTGATGGAGTTGACATTTTATCGCTCTCTTTAGGCGGTGGTGTTACTGCTTTTTACAAAGACAATATCGCCATAGCTGCATTTGGTGCTGTTCAAAATGGAGTTTTTGTGTCATGTTCAGCTGGTAATTTTGGCTCATTATTTCGCTCAGCTGTAAGCAATGCAGCGCCATGGATCATGACAGTCGCTGCTAGCTACACTGATAGAACATTCCCAACCACTGTAAAGCTTGGAAATGGACAAGTTTTCGAAGGCTCTTCTTTGTACTCTGGACAGAACACAGCTGAACTCCCACTTGTTTATAACAACACTGTAGGTGGCCAAGAAGCAAATCTTTGCACGCCTGGTTCACTTGTCCCAGCAATGGTGAAGGGCAAAATTGTGGTGTGTGGACGAGGCAAAAACCCGAGAGTTGCCAAAGGAGAGCAGGTCAAATTAGCAGGAGGAGCTGGGATGATTCTGATCAACACACAACTTGATGGCGAGGAGCTTTTTGCAGAGCCTCATGTTCTCCCAGCAACTTCTCTCGGAGCTTCAGCTACCAAAGCCATGTTGGACTATATAGCTTCCTCCAAGAATCAACCAACAGCTTCCATCGGGTTCCAGGGGACTAAATATGGAAGCAGAGCACCTAAAGTGGCTGCCTTTTCTTCTCGAGGGCCGAGCTTAATTGGACCGGATGTTATAAAGCCAGACGTAACTGCACCTGGTGTTAACATATTAGCTGCTTGGCCACCCATTGTGAGCCCAAGTGAGCTTGAGTTTGATAAAAGAAGAGTGTTGTTCAATATCATTTCAGGGACTTCTATGTCTTGCCCTCATGTTAGCGGCTTAGCTGCATTAATCAAATCGGCACACAACAACTGGTCGCCTGCTGCCATTAAATCTGCGCTCATGACAACAGCTTACACTACTGACAACAAAATGAGTCCCATTTCAGATGTCAGCCACCCCAACGGCGAACCGGCGGATCCATTTGCGATTGGCTCCGGCCATGTCGATCCCGAGAAAGCTTCCGATCCCGGACTCGTCTACGATATCGCACCCGGAGACTACCTAAACTACTTATGTAGCTTGAACTATAGTTCAACACAAATTGGTCTACTTTCAAAAGGGAATTTCAGTTGCCCATCAAAAAGAGAAGTTGTTGAGCCAGGGGACTTGAACTACCCTTCATTCTCAGTGATTATGAAGGCCAAAAATGTTAGCGTTACATTGAAAAGAACAGTCACAAACGTTGGTTACCCAATGAGTGATTACAGTGTCCAAATCAACAATCCAAAAGGAGTGGAAATGATTGTGAAGCCGAAGAGGTTGAGTTTTGAGAGATCAGGAGAGAAGTTGAGTTACAAAGTGAGTTTTGTTGCATTGGAAGAAGCAGAAGATTTGGGTGAGTTTTCGTTTGGATCTGTTGTTTGGGTGTCGGGGAAGTATCGTGTAAGAAGTCCTGTAGCAGTAACCTGGCAGTAGACAAAGGGAGCTGAGTTTGGAGTGCATTTGCTACGTATTTGAAAACATCTGACGCTTAAGTTATCTAAATAAGAATCAAATCTCAAAAACTTTACGTTCTTCTGGTTCTTCGGTTGTGAGTGATATGTATTGAGGTGTGAATGTTTAATATTAGGTTGTGAATTCAACCTTTTTCAATTATGTTACCTAATTAATCCGGATTTATTTGCTATAATTAGGTACATAATGGACCAAGTTGCATGTGATGAGTGAAGGAATGAAAGATAAGATGAGTAACTAAACCAATTAAACCCAACATTTATGATGTCATTGATAGCCGCTTAAGAACGTGGCAGCTACATGTAACTATAAAAATGGTTACCATTCATATTCAGTCGAGCCGTTACTCCTCCAAATTTTAAATTTTAAAAAAGTTCTAAAAACATTAATTATTAACTTAAATGTAGTTTAAAGCAGTAAAAACTATTCATTTTGTTTCCTTTTTTTTCTTTCAAATTTTCAAATATTGAAGAGTTCAAGCAACTATTCCGTAAATGTTTACGAAATTGTGTACAAAAATTTTAAAATTATTGTGCCTTTTTAATAGCCATTCATGTTTCTCATATTTTGTTTTGGTTTTTTTAATACAGAAAAATATGTAAATAAAGTTGGCATCTTTAAACCCCATTTGAGGTCAGCTGGTTGGCATCTTTAAACCCCATTTGAGGTCAGCTGGTTGGCATCATCATACCCTTCTTCTTTAACTTCACTCTTACTATTAAAATTGTGTACCGATTTCAGTTGCATCAAATTCACTCAAACCAAACCTTGTATCACAAGATCAATTCATTGGTGTCGCCCCCACAGGCCCATCACCTCTCATCAGCTCTCATTTTAACCAACAAACAACAAACAAGATTCTCTCTTTTTCTCTCTACTTCCATTGCTTTCCTTGCACTTCCTTTCAACAAAATCTACCCAAGTAAAGAGACAGAGAGTTGACTGAAGCAGCCAAGAAGATGGGGATTCCACTATCTTTTGAGACACACATCCGTGTTGTTGGATTTTCCTTTTTAGTTGGAAGGCGTGCACTACACGACCACTAAAGGGGTTCCAGCATAGCTTTGAATCATTACTTGGGATGTATAATAACAACTACGAAACATAGCCTCAATGTCTCCAGTTCATTCATGTATATAAACCATCCTCTTCGCCGTTTATATATTCATCTTCTTCTCAGCTGAAGCATCTACCTGGTTCAGGCAAGTACACTCACTAAAACTCTCTCTTCTCCCAATCTTTCTTCTGCATGCACCATTGTATGAAGTTTCTTTATCATTCTTTGTTGTTTTTCATGCACTTGTGTTACATTATTGGGTGCAACCAAAGTTATACATAAAGCATATAAGTATTGGGGTTAGAGAGACATGAATGTGCGACATTGTGGATGAATTAAGTAGATGTGTGACACATAGTAATGAGTAATAAAGATGATTTAAAAGTGAGTTGGAGATTTGAAAGGTATTTGTTTGAAGGGGGAGGGGTATGAAGAGTGCAACAAGGATAATTGGTTTGGTGATTTTGCTCGTGTATGCAGCCACACAATGGGGTTTAGGGAAGTATGCCTGTTTTTGTCAATATTCCTTGCAACCTCGGCTGCTGCTGTGGATCAACAATCCTACATCATTCACATGGACACCACCAAGATGGCCGCCCCCAGCCCCGAACAATGGTACACAGCCTTGATTGATTCTATCAATAAAATCTCATCTTTAGACGACCAAGAAGAAGCATCAAGTGCTGCCCAGATTCTTTACGTCTACAAAACTGCTATTTCAGGTAACATTTGTAATATCAATGTCGGTGAAAACCACTCGTATTACTCATATTTTATTGATTTCCAGGTTTTGCTGCCAAGCTCTCCACCAAAAAGCTTCATTCTTTAAGCAAGACTCCTGGCTTTCTGGCAGCCACTCCTAATGAACTACTACAGCTTCACACTACCCACTCCCCTCAGTTTCTGGGCCTACAAAGAGAGCATGGCCTTTGGAATTCTTCAAACTTAGCTTCTGATATAGTTATTGGTTTGCTTGACACTGGAATTTGGCCTGAGCATATAAGCTTTCAGGACAAGGGTCTTCCCCCAGTGCCTAAAAAATGGAAGGGCACTTGTCAAGCAGGCCAAAAGTTTTCACCTTCCAATTGCAACAGGAAACTCATTGGCGCAACAGCCTACATTAAAGGCTACGAAGCAATCGTCGGTCGATTGAACGCAACGGGAACGTTCCGATCGCCCCGAGACTCGGATGGGCACGGCACACACACAGCATCCACTGCTGCTGGAAATATTGTCAACAAAGCTAGCTTTTTTAACCAAGCCATGGGAGTAGCCACTGGAATGAGGTTCACTTCAAGGTATTCAATTTCTGTTCATATGTACATATTCTCATCGATTTGATATTAAAAAAAAAAATCTTGGTACTCTCCAGGATTGCAGCGTACAAAGTATGCTGGACGGAGGGGTGCGCCAACGCCGACATTTTGGCAGCCATAGACCGCGCAGTTGCCGATGGCGTTGATGTTCTGTCCCTCTCTTTGGGCGGCAGTGCTAGTGCCTTTTACAAAGATGATATTGCCATAGCTACATTTGGTGCTGTTCGAAATGGGGTTTTCGTGTCATGTTCAGCTGGTAATTCTGGCCCATCTAGCTCAACGGTTAGTAATATAGCCCCATGGATCATGACAGTCGCTGCCAGCTACACCGATAGAACCTTCCCAGCCACTGTTAAACTTGGAAATGGACAAGTTTTTGAAGGTTCTTCTTTGTATTCTGGGAACAGCATAGGTCAACTCCCACTTGTTTACAACAATACTGCTGGAGGAGAAGAAGCAAATGTTTGTACAGCTGGTTCACTCGTCCCATCACTGGTGAAGGGTAAAATTGTGGTATGTGAAAGAGGAACAAACTCGAGAACAGCGAAAGGAGAGCAAGTGAAGTTAGCAGGCGGTGCTGGAATGATTCTGATCAACACACAACTCGAAGGTGAGGAGCTTTTTGCTGACCCTCATGTGTTACCTGCCGCTAATCTTGGAGCTTCAGCTGGCCAAGCCATCATCCGCTACATATCTTCCTCCAAGCATCAACCAAAAGCTTTGATCGCATTTGAAGGGACCAAATTCGGAAACCGAGCGCCGAGAGTGGCTGCGTTCTCTTCTCGAGGGCCGAGCTTAATTGCACCGGATGTCATAAAGCCAGACGTAACTGCACCTGGGGTTAATATATTAGCTGCTTGGCCACTCATTGCCAGCCCAAGTGAGCTGGAGTCTGATAAGAGGAGAGTGTTGTTCAATATCATTTCAGGGACTTCTATGTCTTGCCCCCATGTTAGTGGCTTAGCTGCACTGCTTAAATCAGCGCACAAGGATTGGTCACCTGCAGCCATCAAATCTGCACTCATGACCACAGCGTACACTAATGACAACAGAATGAGTCCCATTTCGGACGTTGGGTCTGAGAGCGGCAAACCCGCAAACCCTTTTGCATTCGGTTCTGGTCATGTGGATCCGGAGAAAGCCTCTGATCCAGGGCTGATCTATGATATCACGCCCCAAGACTACCTAAACTACTTCTGTAGCTTGAACTATAATTCAACACAAATTGGCTTAGTTTCAAGAGGGAACTTCACATGTCCATCAAAGAGAAGAGTTGGTCAGCCAGGGAACTTGAACTACCCTTCCTTCTCCGTGTTCATGAAGAAGAAAGCCAAGAATGTTAGTGTTACGTTGAAGAGAACGGTCACAAATGTTGGTCGCCCAAGAAGTGATTACACTGTCAAAATCAAGAATCCAAAGGGAATAGGGATTCGTGTGGAGCCTGAGAAGTTGAGTTTTAGGAGATACGGACAGAAGCTGAGTTACCAAGTGAGCTTCGTTGCATTGGGTAAAAGAGAAGGTTTGGGTGGATTTTCTTTTGGATCTCTTGTTTGGGTGTCGGGAAAATATGGTGTGAGAAGTCCTATAGCCGTAACTTGGAAGTAGCTGCGTTTTGGACGATCAAAGTCTTTTAACAAAAATTACATAACCTTATAACTATAATCACATCCCATGAAATATTTATATATTATTATAAAGTTTATATAACTATGTATTTATTTCAACTATTAATGGTTTACTTATAAATTACCATGAATCTAATATTATATTATCCTAATATATTACCGTGTAATTCTATTTTTTTTAGTGATCATCTCATGAATAATTTGTTTAATTACGATCAAATCATAAATTTAATCCTTCTAACATTAGTTAGTATGAGATTATGGGAGATCTCATTATTCAAGTCTTAGTTAGTATTTAATTGAGAGAGAACGATTGAAAAAAAAAAACAAAATCATGTTATAATATTATAATTTCCGCGCCCTTTCTAGTCATATTATTAAAATGTATTAAATAAATAGTGACTTTATAGGGTTGAATTATAGGATCAAATTGAAATGAGAAGGAAAAAGAAAAAGGAAAAGAGAGAGAAAAGTACTCGTTAATTAATTGATCTATAAATTAATTTCAATTGTTTTAAATTATTGTTTACTTATTAAATAATTATCTAATATAAGTATTTAATTAATTAAATCTAATAATTTAACTAATTATTTTATTACAAGAGAGATAAAAAGTGGGCCTGAAATATTTAATGATCTTTTATGTTTGTTATCTAATTAAGCCAGAAATATATTAAAATTTTCATGTTTTTTTTTTTTTTTTTTTTACCTAAATTTCAAAAAGATAACTGTAAATTTTTCATTGGTAATTAAATGAAATATATATTTAAATTTAATGCTTTTAATAGGAGAGAAAATCAGGTAGAAAATTGTTGTCCAAATTTCATTACTTTTATGTATATCATCATTTATTTAATTAAAAAATCCACAAAAATAAGATTTTTTTTTAGATTTTTTTTTTTTTTTTTTAATAATGGTTTTAATCAGTTCATAAATATATATTTTAAATTCCAAAACAAAACTTTTAAATTTTCACATGAGAATATGATACCTAAAAAATGTTTTAAGTTCCAAACATTAATAATTTTATTTATATCCAAACACAAAGCTTTATTATCTTAGAAAATTTAATGTTGTATTTAAATTTTACCTATGAAACGTACCCACAAAATGATATGGATGGTCAAAATGGGTGGTTTGTAAATGAATTAGCACGTGATTATTGTAGCAAATGACTGGTAATTTTGTGAGCAGATGAAACACACTTTAATTATAACAAGTTGCGACTTTAGAGAAGAGGGCAAAGCATCCAATGGAAGTGGAAAGTTGACCAAAATGTATGGAATTGAAGAAAGGGTTGACTTCAGCAAACAAAAAGATGAGGAATTATGAAAGATACTGTTCCACTGTCTTTTGAGACAGACATCCATCTGGTTCTGAAAATGGGTTTACTTTTAGTGGAAATGCGTCCACTATACACTCCCACTAAACCCATCCAACCAAACCTAATTTCATTCATTACTTACTATTTGAATGCATACTAATCACGAGCTTAAGTGCTCCCTTTTGCTGTTGTCGTCGCTCTTTTTCTTATATATATATATGTATATAGAGATCCCCTTCTTCCCCATTTATATATTCGTCTCCTTCGCAATTGCAGCCTCTGCCTGGATCAGGCAAGTATAGTGACTAAATCTCTCTCTCTCTCAAAAATGAAGCTCTTTTTCCCTAATGTTTCTTCTGCATTCATCTTCATATGAAGTTTGAGCTTTGTGGCATGTATTCAAAATAAACGACTAAAAAGTTGAAGTTTTTCCATTCTTGCATGCATCTTTGAATCAAGTTTTCTCATGCATTCACTAAACACGCAAAGATTATCAAATATCTATCTTACTTTGAAGTGTTTTTGGTGAAATCTTCAAGCGTGCCAGACTAAAGAGACTTACTCATGTATGATATCATTTTTGTTTGAAAACAACCATATTTTGGTCCCTCAACGTGATCCTGGTATTTGTTTGCAGCCACGCAATGGGCATTACGGAACTCTGGCTGCTGCTGTTGTCAATAATGCTTGCAACTTCAGCTGCTGCTGTGGATCAACAGACCTACATAATTCACATGGACGCCACAAAGATGGCCACCACCAACCCCGAACAATGGTACACGTCCATCATTCATTCCATCAACCAACTCTCATCTATCAACGACGATCAAAATGAAGCATCAAATGCGGCTGAGATTCTTTATATCTACAAAACTGCCATTTCAGGCAAGCTTTTTTAAATATCCATGTTGAAATTTTCATATCATTTTTTACTATAAATTTTTTTATTATAAATCTTGATTTCAGGGTTTTCTGCTAAGCTCTCAACAAGAAAGCTTCATTCTTTGAGTAAACTCCCTGGCTTTCTGGCTGCCACTCCTGATAAACTACTACAGCTTCACACCACCCACACCCCCCAGTTTCTGGGCCTACAAAGAGGACATGGCCTTTGGAATGCTTCAAACTTGGCTTCTGATATCATTATTGGTGTAATTGACACTGGCATTTGGCCTGAGCATATTAGCTTTCAGGACAAGGGTCTGCCCCCAGTGCCTAAAAAATGGAAAGGCACCTGTCAAGCAGGCCCCAAGTTCTCACGTTCAAATTGCAATAAGAAACTCGTTGGCGCAAGAGCCTACATCAAAGGCTATGAGACCATCCTCGGTCGATTGAACACGACCGGGACGTTTCGGTCGGCTCGAGACTCGGACGGGCATGGCACCCACACCGCATCCACTGCTGCTGGGAACATTGTGTACAAAGCAAGCCTTTATAACCAAGGCATGGGGGCAGCCACTGGAATGAGGTTCACTTCAAGGTATTCAATTTTGAACCATACTTGCTTTCAAATTTTGTACCATATTACCAAACTAGCTTTATACTTTGACAATCGGTATAGGATTGCAGCATATAAAGTATGCTGGCCGGAGGGGTGCGCCAGCACCGATATTTTGGCAGCCATAGACCGCGCTGTCGTCGATGGAGTCGATGTTCTGTCGCTTTCGTTAGGCGGCGGTGATGGTTTTTTTTACCAAGATGAAATAGCCATAGCTGCATTTGGTGCTGTTCGAAATGGGGTTTTTGTGTCATGCTCAGCTGGAAATTCTGGCCCATTTATGTCGACTGTTGGTAATGTAGCGCCATGGATCATGACAGTCGCTGCAAGCTACACTGACAGAACCTTCCCAGGCTCTGTAAAACTTGGAAATGGCCAAATATTTGAAGGCTCTTCTTTGCATTCTGGGAACAGCATAGGTGAACTCCCACTTGTTTATAACAAAACTGCGGGTGGAGAAGAAGCAAGTGTTTGTACAGCTGGTTCGCTGGTCCCATCAATGGTGAAGGGCAAAATTGTGGTATGTGAAAGAGGCACAAACTCGAGGTTTGAAAAAGGAGAGCAAGTAAAGTTAGCAGGCGGAGTTGGAATGATTCTGATCAACACACAACTTGAAGGTGAAGAGCTTTTTGGTGACTCTCATGTTTTACCTGCCATTAATCTTGGAGCTTCAGCTGGCAAAGCCATCATAAACTATATAGCTTCCTCGAAACACCCACCGAAAGCTTCAATCCTGTTTGAAGGGACCAGATATGGGAGTCGAGCACCCAGAATGGCTGCCTTTTCTTCTAGAGGACCCAGCTTCTTCGAGCCGTACGTGATAAAGCCAGACATAACTGCCCCTGGGGTTAACATATTAGCTGCTTGGCCACCCGTTGTGAGCCCAAGTGAGCTCAAGTCTGATAAAAGAAGAGTGCTGTTCAATATAATTTCGGGAACTTCTATGTCCTGTCCCCATGTTAGCGGCATAGCTGCATTACTTAAATCAGCTCACAAGAATTGGTCGCCTGCCGCTATCAAATCTGCACTTATGACCACAGCTTACGTTAATGACAACAAAAGGAGTCTCATTTCCGACGTGGGTCGCCCTAGCGGTGGACCTGCAGATCCTTACGCGTTCGGTTCTGGGCATGTGGATCCCGAGAAAGCTGTGGACCCGGGATTGGTCTACGATATCGTGCCACAAGACTACCTAAACTACTTGTGTAGCTTGAACTACACGTCAAAACAAGTTGGTTTAGTTTCAAGAGGGAATTTCAGTTGTCCATCAAAAAGAACTGTTCTTCAGCCAGGGGACTTGAACTACCCTTCTTTCTCTGTTTCCATGAAGAACAAGGCCAAGAATGTTAGATTCAAGAGAACCGTCACAAATGTCGGTACCCCAAGCAGCGATTACACTGTCAAAATCAACAATCCCAGTGGAATAAGAGTCAGTGTGAAGCCTGAGAAGCTAAGTTTTAGGAGATCCGGACAGAAGCTGAGCTACCAAGTGAGTTTTGTTGCATTGGGTAAAAGAGAGGGTTTGAGTGACTTTTCTTTTGGGTCTCTTGTTTGGGTGTCAGGAAAGTATAGTGTGAGAAGTCCTATAGCAGTAAACTGGGAGTAGAGAAGGGTGGGAGTATTTCATTCCAGAGTTCTCACTTATGAGAATTTAATAATGTTTGTCACTCCCATGCAAATTTGTAATCTCAAAACTAGGGACGCTGCTGTAAGTTTATATAAATGTATGCTCTTTTTTTTAACCCTAGCTCTACGTGTGCCATCATCTGTGACATGGTCACTCCTCGCCTTTTATTTTAAGAGTGAAAATTATCTTAGAAACCCACCCGAATCCTTCCGATGATAATTGAATGATAATTTCTCTACAAGCTTTAAAAGCAAAATCTCCTTGTCCATGTGTCACACTTCGGTTTCTTAGTTCTAATAGATTCCCAACGTAGGCGAAGGTCAACCATTTTGAGCCACTCAAAAGGGACTCACTCCAGTGGCTAGTATGCTCCATAGTGGAATAGGACATACATTTTTAATTGGAAGACCCAATCACACGTTTTCTAAAATCATTCAAGATGCACATCATAGTTTGCTAATTATCTTTTCATTTTCATTTATTACCCTTATAGCATTATATTCCAATAGATATCCGAAATTATTGATTTGATGGAGAAAATGATACAAAAATTAGTTAAGACGTCGAAGAGTTCTTTTCATTTTATACGTTCTTTTTTTTTTAATCAATGGATCTATGATAATTACAAATTTTTATGAGAGGGTCATTCATGAAAAGTTAATAATCATTCATTCAGTTGAACTTAATAAACATGATTGCTCGGTTCAATATGGAACCGCACTAATGACATAGGTGATTCTTCAAATCCATACCTATCATATGATCTTAAATTTTAGAAAAGTCATGCAATAATGAATATCAAGAAAACATGTACTACATTAAATTAAATTCCAAATTGTTATGATAATAAATTCCCAACAAAGATTCAAATCTAATTGAAATTAAAGTAAAAACCTACATTTAGTCCAACAAATTGAAGGTCTACATTCACACGTGTTAGTAATCCAATTCTTCTTCTATCATCATTTTTTAAGATATCGAAAATCAAATTTCACTCATTCTTAAAAGATATATGGTATGGTTGTGTTAGTCTCCACTTTCCAACTCTATTTATGGGGTCTAGAATCAATATATGCATATATCCAACCAGATTTGTTAATGGTTCTGAGGGAGACATGAGTGCAATATTTAAACCCATTACATTTGTTTTAGTTGCCCAATAAGTGGCCATGTGCTTGTTCAACTCACAGGAGAGCTAATGCCCTATTTACAAGCTTAGTGTCGCACTTTTACTCCCAAAGGGTCTCGAGCAACCATAGTGGGTCACTTGTTTTTGTCTACCAACAACTTGTCAAATCCAAACCACTTCTAGAGATCAATACCCCATACACCCTTATCTTCCAAGCTTTCACCCCCATTACTTCGCAAATACCAACCCAAGGTTGAATTACCAGGCCGTACGTATGTCAAAAGATTTCCCATCGATCTATATTACTGTTTTAGTTTTAAGTTGTTGTGAGACCAATGGGGTGAAATCTGGGCATCCTGTTGTTGAATGAACTCTTTTTTCGGGCATTATTGGTATATTCCTGCTGCATGCTTGGAAAAAGATACGTATGAGATTCAAATATTCGACTACAATTTCTACCCCTTGAGAATAGAAGAATCGAAATTGGCTCGCCCAACAAGATCTTTCTCAATGAGGCCACCCCTTGTTTTCATGCCCCTTAAATCATTTCCGTTCTCAAATATATTCCCGTTGAATACTTCATCCTCAGCCTCAAATTTAATTTAAAAAGGGTGACAATCCTCGCTTCTTTTCTTGATTGGGCGTACCATTCACATAACTCCTTAATAGTATGATAATGTCCACTTTGGATATAAGTCTCATACCAATGGAGATGGTTTTCTTCATTTTCCTATGATCTTCCCCGTCCATGGTCAATGTGAACCTTTGGTCGCACTTTCTACCATCTTCCACCAAATAAAGTGCTATGGAGCCTCCCGTCAGGGCTCACCATCTGTTTGTTTGGCATCGGAAGACTCTTTCAACATGGCTAAGTCAAGAAGATGATTATGATACCATTACAAGAATTAGAAAGAGAGAGAAGAGAATGTGATCATAAAAGTACTTCGTTGTTCAACATTAGTGGTTGGAGAAGTAATCCTATTTATAGGACTCTCTGAAACAATATTAACTTAGGGTACGACTGTATACTAAATCAGTATTAGCAAAGATACAATCGTAACAAGCTCTTAACAACCAATGAGTTAAGTCTTAACACCTTTGGCTTCTAAATTCTTAACAACCAATGTTGAATTACGTAGTTCCACAAACACATGACATCTCTATTCTTGTTTACCAGGCCGTACGTATGTAAAAATGTTGATGGCATCTCCAAACAACTGTGAGTTCTTACGTAAATACTAACCCAAGGTTGAATTACATAGGACGACCAAGGGTCATAGCTCGCCCATTTATTCTACATGGCTATTCACTTTCACCAAAACATTACTAACCCCAAAGTCCAACATAAAACACTACTTCCCATTCTTTCTGCTACCAACGGGAAGCCAACGGGAAAATGGGAGGAAAAGTTGATAGTGGTTGTAACAACTCAAGCCCACTACTAATAGATAATGTCCGCTTTGGTCATCGTTAGCCTCCCTTTATAAGAATGTTTCGTTTCCCTCTCCAACCAATATGGGATCTCACAATCCACCCTGTTGGATACCATTTGTAATAGCCTAAGCCCACTTCTAGCAAATATTATTTGTTTTGGTCTATCGTCGTCAGCCTCACAGTTTTAAAATGTGTCTATTAGAGATAGTTTTCCACACCTTTTATAAAAAATGTTTTGTTTCCCTCTCCGATCAATGTGGGATCTAACAGTAGTTCTCACAAAACCCTGGAAGATCGAAGGCCAAATTTAAGTTTTATCACACATTTCGCAATCCATAACTTACGAGTAGGTTTACATTCAGAATATTTTACAACGATAAATTCTCCAATGCATGACAACTTAGGCCATGCATGAGGAGAACACATGCTTACAAGCATTTATTTTAATAACGCGTAGCATAGCATAGCATAGTACAAGGCAATACTTATTACATGTCATCAGTTAAGCTTCCATAAGGTGAGCCTCGAGGTCTTTGCAGAGAGCAACGCATAAGCGAAGCATGGAATGTGCATCTGGAACATTTCCATGCAATTTCTCGTATTCTAAAGCACAGTGAACCACGCTTCCAATACCCTTTGGAGTAACTCGAAATGTAAACTTGAAGGTCTTGTAATGCTTTAGAAGGTCAGACTGTAGCACTTTGAAAGTGATCGTATGCTTCTCCATCTAACAATATATAAAGCCACAAATTAGGTTACAATCTCATAATTTATTTAGGAAACTAAAATATTAATAGCTTTGGATAGCAAACCATGATAGTAGTTCCAGTTGATGATAGAACCAACTTTTCCCCATTCACCCTCATGTAACTTAACACTCTCTACTTTGTCTCCCGAAACATTGGAAAGATGGTGAGGATTCTTGTGGATTATTTCGAAGAACTTTGAAGCTGGAGCTTTCATTTCAATATCAGCCTCCAGTTTCCCTAACAGAGACATCGTGTTGATATAGGATACAAACTAAAGTTGTAGCTGAACCCAACAAAGGTATGCTGTCGTATATCAACCAAATAAACTCCCGCACTTGTTTATTTATACACACGGTTGTTGTATCTTTTGGATCAAGATTTTATAATTTTTCCACAATTAGGGTTATTAATAACTCTAACCCTACAAATTTATGGGGGTTAATTACTTGTATAACCACTATAGTTATTGGGGGATAATAGCATGATATTATAAACTAAGCATTATACCCACAACTACAAATAAGCCAATAAATTTTTGTTTAAGTTCGAAATTGCTATCCAAAACTATATTTAATTTTTTTTTAAGTTTTTTTTTTTTTTTTTTTAAAAAAAAAACTTCAACATAAATCCTATTCCATTGCGTCTCTCTCTTCTATTTTTATTTTGGGTCATTCAGTCAATAATGATGAAATTATTACTCAAAATTATGGAACAGTTGGAGGTTCATTTAAAATTTACAAAAATAGTTAGGTCTAAATTTTTGTTTTAGAAATTATAATTGCCCTGGAGGTTTTATTATTCAGCAATTAGTGAGGAGTAATAAAGCATTAATTAATTACTTACACCTAATTTGGAGACTTTTTTTTTTTTCCAAGTAATAAAAAGTTGGGACATACACATCCACTCTTCTGGGAGTAAATCCTCTTTATAAATAGTGTCGAAGTCTGTAGGGTTGGCAAAACATTATCGTTATCTGAACTTGAAGCACCACAACTTACAGCTCAAAAATGTGTGGGTATGGAAAGTTGCAGGCGGACATTGAAATCAAGTCTCCCCCTTCAAAGTTTTATGAAATGTTCTGCAAGAGACCATACCATGTCTCTAACGCTTCGGGGGACAGAATACAAAGCTGTGAACTACATAAGGGTGAATGGGGCAAACCTGGTTCTGTCATCTACTGGAACTACTTTCATGGTTTGTTTTCTGCTTTTCTTCTTTTTTACTTCAATACATATATCATAGAATGGATATTAATTAATTTAATGTATCGCTAAACTGCAGATGGAAAGGCTAGAGTATCTAAGCTCTTAATTGAAGCTGTGGATGATGATGAGAATCTGATTGTTTTTAGAAATTGAAGGAAACCTTTTGGAGAATCATAAAGAATTCAAGTTTACAATGCAAGCTACTCCCAAGGGTAGTGGAAGGATAGTTCATTGGATTTTGGAATATGAGAAACAACATGAAAACATTCAAGAGGCATATAGTATGCTGGAGTTTGTGGTGGGCATGTCCAAAGACATTGATGCCCATCTCATTGATGACCATCCAATATTACTATATGCTATGTGCCAACTATATGGTTAAATAAATGCTTGTATTGCATGCTTTGTTTAAATAAATGCTTCTATGGCTTGCTATGTTTAAACAAATGCTTGTATGGCATGTTACCTATGTGCTTATTCTATGTAATCATGCCTTACAAAACTATATTTCATATATATCTAAAATCATCCTTTATCCAATATAAACTTAAAAAAAAAAAAAAAGTGAAGAAAATGTTGTTCAAATTATCCTAAGATGTTGGATTACATATTTTGGGTGGATGGACTTTCCTTTCCAGGCTTCCCTATTACGAGCATCCTAGGGAGAGATTTTCACACCCTTGCAAGAAGAACATCGTTCTCCTTTCAATGTCCTCGCTGACACACTTATAAGAAATGTTTTGTTCTCCTCTCCAACCAATGTGGACCCAACGTCCTCGTTGGCTAATACCATCTCACCGCTAACAGATATTGTCCGTTGTCTGCTTTGGGTTTTCTCTCCAGGCTTCCCCATTGTGCGTTTGCTAGGTAGAAGTTTTCACACTCTTATAAAAAATGTTTCGTTCCCCGAGAGATTTTCATACCTTTATAAGAAATGTTTTGTTTCCTTCTCCCACCAATGTGGGATCTCAAAATTTACCCCTTGGGGCTCAACGTCTTTGCTGTCAGATTTAGTGTTTGGCTCTGATACCATTTGTAACAGCTCAAGCCTACCATTAACAAATATTGCCTGCTTTGGGTTTTATTTGACTTGAGCTATTACAAATGGTATCATAGTCAGTCTCCTGACGGTGATGGTGCAAAGCACTAACCATAGTAGGGCTAAACCCTCTCCATAATAGATGCGTTTTAAAATCGTGAGACTGACGGCAATATTTCAATTGACGTTGTTAGAAAGGCACCCAATCTTGTCCATCCCCTTGATTCTCCCCCAGATGTTTGATTGTGGGGAAGAAATACAATGACTTTACTAAACCCCTTAAATAAATTACTTTCATTAATTCTCCAACGCATGGTCACGTACATGCTTCAAGCAATTATTTTAAGCATAAGAGTTATTAATACATATAGCATTACCCAATACTTAATACATATCACTAGTTGCCTTCCGTAAGGCCAGCCCCAAGGTCTTTGCAGAGATCAACACAGAACTGAAGTATCGAATGAGAATCTGGAATCCCTCCATGCAATTTCTCGTATTCCAAAATACAGTGAACCACACTTCCAATGCCCTTTGGAGTAGCTTCAAATGTACCCTTGAAGGTTTTATAATGCTTCAGAAGGTCTGATTCCAGCACTTTCAAACGGACCATATTCTTCTCCTCATCAACTGCTTCGATTAGATGCTTTGCAACCTTAGCTTCTCCATCTAATTAACAATATACATAACGCCACAAATTAGTACACAATCTCATCATTTATTTAGGAAACTAAAATATTAGATTTGGAAAGCAGACCATGATAGTAGTTCCAATTGACGGTGGACCCAACTTTTCCCCATTCACCCTCGACTAACTTACAACCTTGTACTTTGTCTCCCGAAATATTGGATATATGGTGTGGTCTGTTGCAGAATATTTCATAAAACTTTGAAGCTGGAGCCTTGATTTCAATGTCAGCCTCCAATTTCCCTAACAGAGACATTGTGTTGATACAGGATAATAAAGTTGTAGTTTAACCCAACCAACATATAATGTCCTATATCAACCTCTTTATTTATACACTCTGCTGTTCTATCTTTTGGATCAAGATTTTATATTTTTCCACTATTAGGGTTATTAGGGTTATTAATGGTTCTATGTTAATTACTTGTATAACAACTATAATTATTGGGGGATAATAGGATAATATTATAAACTAAGCATTAACTCTCAATCACAGCTCAACCTGTGATTGAGATCCCACGTCTGTTGGAGAGAGAAATAAATCATCCCTTGTAAGGGTTTAGAAACCTCACCCTAACATATGCGTTTTAAAATCATGAGGGTGACGGCGATACGTAACGGGCTGAAGTAGAAAATATCTGCTAGCAATGGACTCAGGTTGTTACAAATGGTTCAAAGCCAGAGACCGGATGATGTGATAGCGAGGAGGTTGAGCCCCAAGGGGTGGATAAGAGGCAGTGTGCCAATAAGAGTAAGACACTAGGCCCTGAAGGGGGTGAATTGGAGGGTCTCATCGATTAGAGAAGGGAACGGGTGCCAGTGAGAACGCTGGGCCTCGAAGGAGGGTGGATTGTGAGATCCAACATCAGTTGGAGAGGAGAACGAAACATTGTTTATAAGGGATGTGTAAACCTCTCCACGCAACCTTGAGGGGAAGCCCAAAAGGAAAAGTGTAAAGAGAATAATATTTATTAGCGATGGGCTGGAAGCCCAAAAAAGAGGACAATATTTGGACCCAACGTTAGTGATGGGGTTGGATGGTTACAAGTTTTCATCCAAAGCTAATGGTTTGAGTATTGTTAAAACTTAAAATTATAGTTGTGTCTCTCTCTTATTTATTTTTATTCCTCCAGGCACAATTCAAGACGGGAGCCAAATTTGGGACATTCAGTCAACATGATGAAATTTTGACTCAATTATGGAACAACAGTTGGGAGGACCATTCAAAATAAATTTTACAACAAAAGCTGGGTCTAAATTGTCTCCTGCAACTTATAATAATTGTCCTGGAGGTTATATTATTCAGCAATTAGTGAGGAGTAATAAAGCATTAATTAATTACTTACACATAATATGGAGACTTCTTTCCAAGTAATAAAAATTTGGGACCAATTTTAAAATTATGAACCAAGTTTTAGATGCATTCCCAATATGGAAACATAAATGGCAGCAAAGAACAAAACTTCTTTCAAACATAAATGCCTTGTGTGTTTGTTTTAACCACCACATTGAATGATCCTAGTTGCATGCATAAATAATTCATTGAGTGACATATGCATCCTGTTTATAAATAGTGTCAAAGTTTGTAGGGATAGCAAAACATTATCGCTTTCTGAACTTCGAAGCACTAAACTTAGAGCTCAAAAATGTGTGGGTATGGAAAGTTGCAGGCGGACATTGAAATCAAATCTCCGGCTACAAAGTTTCATGAAATGTTATGTAAGAGACCATACCATGTCACTAACGCCTCCAGGGACAAAGTACAAGGCTGTGAACTACATAAGGGTGAATGGGGCCAAGTTGGTTCTATCATCTGCTGGAACTACTTTCATGGTTTGTTTTCTTTTTCTTCCTTTTTACTTCAATACATATATCATATCATAGAATGGATATTAATTAATTTAATGTAGCGCTAAACTGCAGATGGAAAGGCTAAAGTAGCTAAGCAAGAAGTTGAAGCTGTAGATGCGGATGAGAATCTGGTTGTTTTAAGAATGATTGAAGGAGACCTTTTGAAGGATCATAAGAACTTCAAGTTTACAATCCAAGCTACTCCCAAGGGTAGTGGAAGTGTGGTTCATTGGACTTTGGAATATGAGAAACTTCATAAAGACATTCCGGAATCGTATAATATGCTTGAGTTTGTTGTGGGGATGTCCAAAGACATTGATGCCCATCTCACGGAAGGAAAGTAGGGACCCTGAGCCCAACATTTGCCTAAGTGGGAGGGCCTTCCTTACTATGAACTATCCAATATTACTATATGCTATGTACCAACTATATGGTTAAATAAATGCTTGTATCCCATGCTATGTTTAAATAAATGTTTGTATCGCACTCTAATTGGTTCTAAAAAATGACGTGAACTAAACCCTTTTGGTGACCTCGATAGCTAGCTACTCACTATCTTCATATGTAATGACCATAAAATTATGTCATTGTTGGGACATGCTTTAAGATACGACCATACAATTCAAAGTTATATGTGTGTGTGCATGTATGTCCAGCGATTTTAGAAAACAAAATATTTAGTTTCTCCAATAGAATCTCTTAGTTTGAAAAATTCCTAGCAAGCACAAAGTAGAGGGTGATCTCATCCTTACGTGTCCCTTGCATCATCGTGGAACTTCATCCACCACCTCGACACATCGTTGCGCTTCTCTGGACCGTCATCAGAAGAGACGCACGGTAGCTACTGTTCGTTGGGGCTAAGAACGTTCGACAGCTATCCTGCCTGCACACATTGCTACTCTTGTCACCGCACGTTGCTGCTCAAGTTGCAACTCTCTATCTCCACCTTGTTTATTGTACACTAATGTCATAATTCTATTAAATTGTGGGAGCAAAATCGATTGCACTCATACACTCACAAACATAAATTAAACAAAAAGACACAAATTTATGTAGTTCGAAGAGAATTTTTTTTTTTTACATTCATCCGTGATAGTCAATCACTATAACCAAAGTGTTTATAAAGTTTTTTATAAAATTCTTCTCAATTACCTCTCGCCAGATTCAAAATGACAATGACTTCACACCTCAAACCAATACTAGACAATTCTTTACATAGACATATAAATGTTAATTTTCATACAGAGAAGTTGAACAAAAAAAAAAAAATATATGATAAATGAGAGTTAATAACCAAAATAAATGAGAATATGAATCTTTGACAATAACTGAGACTTATAACAATAACCACACAGTTTAGTTTCTATTTGGATGTATTAGTGTTGAACCCGATTTTTCACATAAGAATGGTGAGTAATAAAATAGGATTTTTTTATGTGGTGTGGAGAAGATTTGATTGTTGGTATTTTGAAGGTAGGGTTTGTCTCTATCGAATTTAGACTTGAGGGATGGTGAGATCTTAGGGTTGGAGAGAGCAACTAAATATTTTTTATAAACATGCGGAAACTCTTAATAGAGATGAGTTTTAAACCTGTGAGACCGATAACAATACTTAACAGACAAAAGCAGACAATATCAGTCAACGGTAGACTTGAGTTGTTGCAAATGATATTATAGTCAATCACCGGACGGTGCGAGACACTGGTTAGAGTAGGGCTGCACAGTCTCCATAGTGAACGTGTTTTAAAATCGCGAGTTTGACAGTAATAGGTAACAGGTCAAAATAGACAATATCAGCTAGCGGTGAGCTTGTACCGTTACAAACTTTTTTTTTTTTTTTTTTTTTTGAAAGGGTCCTTCCTATTGAAACTTAAATATTTTTTTGTGTTGAGATATGATTCAAAGTATTCAAAAAGATATGATTCAGAGTAGTTGAGATATGATTCAAATATTCAAATTACCACGATTTTAGAAGATTGTTAGTAGATTTGAATTTTTCTAGATTTCGATGATTTACTATTACGAGAATTGTGTAACCCCCTAAGGATCAAGTCAGTAGACAATAATAAAGCAGTACACCATTCATCTATTCTATCTATTCTTATCTCTTTCATTATCCATTTTTCCAACAATTTTGGTATTAGAGCCAACACGAGGGCGAGTGATTATTTTCTTTCACAAAACAAAAATGGCAGTAGCTGACTTTTCTTCCTCTGCACCGTTGTTACCGATCTTTAATGGTGAGAAATATGAGTGGTGGACCATCAAGATGAAGACCTTGCTCAGATCGCAGGAGCTATGGGACTTGGTGGAGGACGAGTTTGTTGATGTATTAGAACCCACAATAGAAGAAAAGGAGAGACTAATAGAAACCAAGAAAAACAATGCCAAAGCTTTATTAACAAGCAGTTCATGAGACTATCTTCTCACGAATTGCAGCATCAACCACATCAAAGCAGACATTGTCAATTCTACAGAAGAAGTTTCTAGGAGATTCAAAGGTCATGACAGTGAAATTGCAATATCTAAGACGTGATTTTGAAACTCTACTCATGACGAATGACGAATCAATTGCTGATTTTTTGTCAAGAGCAATGACAATAGTCAGTCAGATGTATATCTATGGAGAGAAAATTTCAAACGAAACAATTGTTGCAAAGGTGTTGAGAAGCTTGACTCCAAAGTTTGACCATGTAGTGGCTGCCATAGAAGAAGCTAAGGATCTATCCATACTCTCCATTGATGAATTGATGGGCTCGCTTTAGGCCCATGAGGCAAGAATCAATAGAGCATTAGAAAGGAATGAAAAAAAGGCACTACAGGTGAAGGAGACAACCAACAACGAAAGAGAAAATATTCATTTAGCAGGTAGAAGTCATGGAAGAGGAGGATTTCGCAGCTTCCATGGTGGTCGTGAAAACAGGGGTAGATGGAGAAGTGATGGACAGAGACAATTTAATGAACAAAGAAATGTCATACAATGTTACCATTGCAGAAGGTATGGGCACACAAAATCTGATTGTTGGTATAAAAATCAACGAATGAATTTTGCAACAGAGAATGAAGAAGAAGAAGAAAAGTTGCTTATGGCGTGCATGCATGGATACTAATCCAAAAAAGGGTGACTTATGGTTTGTTGATAGCAGATGCTCGAACCATATGACAGACACCAAATCTTTATTAAGGTGAACTTGGAAACACAAAAGAGATGCAAGTTGAGGAAAAAGGTACAATAAAAGTCGAAACCAGTCATGGTAAGATAAAACAATTAGATAATGTTCAATTTGTACCTGATTTTGGGTATAATTTATTGAGTGTTGGACACCAGAGGACATTTAGTTCTATTTGATGACAACACGTGTCATTACACATAATAAATCAGGTCATAAAGTTCAAATTGGCATAACTTCAAATAAGATGTTTCCACTTATATTTCTAACATGAAGGATTTTGCTCTGGCTGCTAGCACGAAAGATGACTCAAATGACATCTCAGATATGGACATCTTCATATGGATGCATTTATGGCAAGCAAACTAAAAGTTCTTTTCTATTGGAAAAGTTAGAAGAACTTCACATTGTCTAGAACTAATTCATGCCGATTTAGTTGTGCTTTTGGATAATCATTTACTTTGAGGTGTGATTATAAATAATTATTTTTGTGGCGACACACTGATACAACATACATCCATTCATTTATTTTAAGTTACAAAATTTGTAGCTTAAGTAACGTCCTCAGTCGGTAAGTGTACGAAACGTCTAAGTATTACATGTTTGGTTGAATCAGAAATTGTGAAACGGTTCAAATTAACTGTTTCTTTTTTCAAGCTTTGAACCCCAGCCACCCACAAGCATCACAGCTTCGCTACCTTCGACGATGCCTTTTGCGTGCAAGTCTTGGGTCGGCGCATGGTTCACGATGGTACAATACCATAAAACGGCGGAGTTGTACGACATCTTTATGCATTGTATTGTGCAGAGGTTGTTCTTCAACGGAAAACGAAAGTTGAATTGTGCAGAGGTTGTTCTTCAACGGAAGCTCCGTAGGCATTGTATTTGGCCATCGGCATGTTCGTTTTGTTTATTCAGTAACAGATTGACTTCTTTTTGTTTTAATAAATGGACACAACCAAGACATAATAGTAAATATAATTTAAGTAGTTTTATTGGCCGTCCACCATTTACGAGTAGGTTTGCGTTTACAAGGATTATTTTTCCAAGGCATGATAACCAAGAGTTATTAATATAGGCCCATAATCAATACATATCATTTCTTACCTTAGGTAAGAGTTATTAATACATACCCTAGACCAAAATAGTAAACACATTTTGAACATTTTGAATAACCCATATGGTATTCCAAAGGATATCAATTCGTAGTATGAGGCCAATAATTAATACATATCGTTAGTTAGCTTAGGCAAGAGTTATTAATACATAGCATAGACCAAAATTAAAATGTGTTAACATATTAACAAATATGGATACCAACATAAAGCTAAGATGTGAAACATGAAATCGATGAGGTTTATGTTTCGATAATGAGAAGCTCATACCCCAAACACACAATTTCATTTAGTTTAAGAAATCACTAATTACTTGAAATCCATGGTTAATCTTTCTTTTACACCCACCCTCGCTTCCTAGATCTTATTACTTTCCCTTTTAAATGGATTATTTAATATAATACTTTGGGTAAACGTATAAACTTCTGCCCTACTCTTTGGCATTTATTTTTGTAATAAATTACTGTATACAACTTTCACCATAACTACGTGTCTTCTTGATTTACCTTGGGCAGTGAAACGATTCAATTAACCAATATGCATATGATTGTTTCGTATTAAAAGTGTGTTTGACTTTCTTTTTATTTTTTTTTTAATTGTTTTAAAATAAAAACACGTTTTAGATTATGTGGAAGAATTACCAATTTAATTTGACTTTTTAACCTGGCTTGGAAACAATCTTAACTGTTTAATTTGTTTGGTCAAACTGATTTCTTTTTAATTTATTCAAAATCACGCTTCTATTATTAGCTTATTTATGTATTTAAAGTTTATTTATCTTCCTACAGCTTCGCTACTACGACCATCACAGTATTATATTTTTATGAGTAATTTTGGATTAAGGAACCCGTCCAAAAAGGAATTCAAATCAAGGATAATCACAATCGAGGGTTGATAAATATAAAAGTTGTATCACCTTCATATATGAATGAACCAAGACAATAAGAGTGATCTTGATGATGAGACGATTAAAAACTCTATGGTTAAGCATGTTTTAGTTAGAAGGTGACCTCCTATAAATTTTTGAGAGAGGCATGTGAGTATCATAAGCATGTTTTAATTAGAACAATTCAATTTTAGGTGCCTTCCTATAAATTTTTGAGAGAGGCATGTGAGTGAGGATGGACGTTAATCTATGACGCTATTCACTTTTGAAAAGCGAGAAGTAAAATATACCTGTTGGAGAGGATGAGGGGAATGTTAGAAACCTGAAATACCGAATTGTAGGCCTGTGTCACTGTAAAGGTTGAAGCTTAGAAGCATGGTTGGGCAGACGGGAAGGAAAGAAGTTAGGCCAGACCCAAGGGTCTTGTAGGGGCAAGAGAATTCATTTTTTTATATAAGAAGTGCAAGATGGACGAGTTCATCAGAAGTTGCAATGGCCAACCTTCTCTTCTTTCTTCCTCCTCCTCCTCCTCCAATAACCTTAACCTTAATGTCTCACTCAAAGATTCCAAAAGCTTTTCACAACCATTCATGGCTTTTCAAGAACCCTATCGAGAAACCAGGTTTTGCAGATAAAAAATGGAGCATTCATGCGGATTCTTCTTCCTTCAATCTCTTAAACTTTGCTGTATGTTTGTAACTCTCTCCTTTCTCTCTATTTTCTCTCTATCTAAATTGCACTCCTTGTCTAAGTCCTTGGAATTGATACTCATGTGCATAGGATGGCCTTGGGCTTGTTGAAGCTCCAGCTAAAGTGGATATTTTAAGGCATTTATTGAGAGACCAAACTGGAGATTCCTTGGATTGCTTGAACCTTATTGATGCCACCCAACGCCTTGGCATTGATTACCACTTCCAACAGGAGATTCAAGTTGTTCTTCAAAGGCTATACGTCTTATCTAACCATCAATGGCTAGATCGCGAGACCAATCTTCATTATACTTCTCTTCTCTTTCGACTTTTGAGACAACAAGGTTATCCCGTGTCCACAGGTTACTACCAACTACTCTGTTATATCAACTAAAAGGACAAGCGAGCTACTTAGCCGCCCTAAACACAATCTCACTCTTTCTAATCTTTGTTCATAATTTGAACCAACAGATAATTTCAGAGCTTTCTTGGACAACAAGGGAAAGTTCAACGAAGGCCTAAGACAAAACGTGAATGGGCTGATGAGCTTATATGAAGCTTCACACCTATGCATGCATGGCGATGACATACTTGAAGAAGCTGAAACTTTCAGCACCCATGGCCTTAATCATTGCCTTGCTCATCTTGATCATCATATGGCCCCTTTTGTGCGCAACACTTTAGCTCATCCCCACCATAAAAGCGTTGCTAAATTCATGGTGCCTACCTATTTTGGAGACATTCAAAGCACAAACAAATGGATCCATGTTTTGCAAGATGTTGCCAAAATGGATTTCAATGCAGCTCAGCTGCTACACCAAGACGAACTTGTTCAGTTCTTGAAGTAACATTTTGTTTATCTATAATATTGTTGTCTTCATTAGACAAATTAAAAAAAAAAATCTTTAGATGCGTCCTCATGTTTCTTGATGTTTTGTTAATCATAGATGGTGGAAAGAAACAGGCTTGGCGAAAGAGTTGAAGTTTGCAAGAGATGAACCTATTAAATGGTACATAGAATCACTAGTTTGTCTCGGAGATTCATGCTATTCCCAACAAAGACTCCAACTTGCAAAGTCCATCTCTTTTGTGTATCTCATTGATGACCTTTATGATGTATTTGGAAATCTTAAAGAACTCACCTTCTTCACCGAAGCTGTCTGCAGGTTGGAAGCCATATTCGTGGCTGTTGTCATATCAAATTTCATGTTATTGAAATCAACATTGTTCACTACATTGTAGATGGGATTTGGGTGCTGCTAAAAGATTGCCTGATTGCATGGGAATTTGTTTAAAATCTCTATTTGAAGTTACCAATGATGTAAGTTCCATGATCTATAAGAAGCATGGCTGGAATCCCATTGGTTTCTTAAGTAGAGCGGTATGTATCTTTAATTTGTTGGATCAAGTTTGATCTCTATAACGTCACCCAAAATTGTGTTTTGACGTTTGTGTGCAGTGGGGTAAATTATGCAAGGCCTTCTTAGTGGAAACTGAATGGATGAGTTGTGGATATTCACCAAGTGCAGAAGAATATTTGAGGAATGGCATTGTTAGCACTGGCATCCACGTTATTTTAGTACATGTTTTCTTTCTATTAGGCCAACAAATAAGCCAGCAAACTGCAGAGCTTTTGGAAGATGATTTAGACATTATTTCATCTACTGCCATCATACTCCGACTCTGTGACGACATGGGCAGTGCAAAGGTAAAAATAAACTTACCCAACTTCAACCATGCATTCACTGTTTAAAACGGTAACGACCCATGTCAAGGATTCGAATTACGATTCAAAATTTGGATGATCCTGACATTTCCTTAAATCCCTTACGAAACATGATCATGTTGCTTACTCCTCCCTTTTAAAAGTGGAGACTATTCTCACCGACCAACACGAGTCATTCTAATATGATTTGGAAAAAGTTAGAATTTATGACTATTGATTTTAATGTTCGAACATAAACCAGTATGCATTTACACGTGTGCAGGACGAGAAGCAAGTGGGGCTAGATGGATCATATGCAAAACACTACATGAATGAGCATCCAAGCATCTCCCATGAAGCCACACACCATCATGTTACGAACAAAATTTCTCAAGCATGGAAGACTCTCAACAAAGAATATCTCTTATCCAACTTATTCCCAGCAAAGTTCACTCAGGCTTCTCTGAACATTGCAAGAGCAGTCCCTTTGGTTTATAATTATGGCTCAAACCAATCATTTATGACACTTGAAAAGCTCATACAACAATTGTTGTTTCGTATATATGTGTAACATTGGATCTTCATACACATTTATTACTACAAACTAAAACAAAACCATGATGAATACTCAAACAAAAATACACATTTATAATTGTTGTGTAATGATACTATCCTAGCCCAACAAGGAAAGAAGAAAATCCTTGTAACTTCCTGAGGTCTCAGAACGAACAGCATCATGCAGCGTTTTCTTATACTTCCTGTGGTATTCTGTCTTTATATACTGCATATCTATCTCAGCTCTTGTCACAATTATCCTTATCAGCGTGGTATCATCTGTTCCCAACCCCTTCATTGCCTTGTACAATATCTATAATCAAACAATCTCAATCAACGTACTCTTCAATGCTTAACTGCAACTAAACTTCACAAAAAAGAGAAAATACCTTTGCAAAGTACAACCCAGGATTCTCAGCACACCGCACGATTGTTTGAAGCCCAAATTCAAAATACCCTGAAGTTTCGTTCTTTATTGCCTGCAAATATGTTTTGGTGGCTGTGTTGATCTAAAATCCTTATATTATTGTAAAACCCGAAGATTGGAATAATAATAAATAAATGGCACCTTTTTCAAAGAGTTCCCGTATAAGTTCTTATAAGTAGAGCTAACAGCAGCAAGATGAGCCCTGCTTCTTTCACTAAAGATCTGTATAAACTTGTCCTCATCAGTTCCCCATCTTTTCTCCCCAGCTTTATACAGAGCTTCTGCATCCTTGGCTACCATGTCGCCGTCAATTTCAGGACCTTCATACCGTGGTTTACTAACGTAAGCCAATAGTAGCTGCCAATCAAATCAATAAATCAAACATAACCAATCAAAATGAAGGTTTGTGAAAGTATTGAAGGGAAGATTGTATGTATACAACCTTCTTGTGATCCCCGGAAGCAACATTTTGAATGTCATGTTCGATGTAGGATTGGAACATGGACAAGTAAAGTTGTCGAAGCTGCTGAAGTTGAGTTGAGGTACGAGAACACATCACTTCAGTGGCACGTCTGAGATGAACAGTTTCTCCACATAAAGCCTCCTTTATTATGACAGCATCTCGGCTTGCTGGATCGTACATCCATAGTAAAACGGCTTTCTGCAAATAAATAAATAAATAAATAAATAAATAAATCTAAATCCCAACCAGCTAGATGGAGGAGGAGCGTGGTGAGGTCAACATTTCCAACGCACCTCAAGGTTACCACTAAGCTCAGATTTCAAGTGTTTGATGAGACCCTTGGAATACATGGCTTTGTATTCCCGTTGAATGAGAGCACGTTGGGTTGCATCTCGATGTGCAAGAATGTTGACAACTGCAGCAGTGTCGCAGCCAAAGCCTGCATGAATGGAATTATTAGGAAGCGCAACAGGAGGAAGAAGTGGAAACTAGAAAAAAAGAAGTAGAATCTTTCCTTTGAAGGCACGGTGAAGTTGGGCAGCATCGTCCTGAGGTGAAGTTAGGACAGGCGGTACGATCAAAGATGACATGTTCTTTGTTTCTTCACAGACAAATGTGGGAAGGGAAAGGTTGATGGGAGAGGATAAATATAGTGGATGATGATGGCTTAATATTAGAATTCAGCTGAGTGAGTGGATTGAACAAAGAAACAACAAAACAAAAAAAAAACATGTTTGTTTCTCCTTCTTTCTCGCCAACTCTTTCTAACGCTCCCCATCATTTTCTCCCAACTCTTTTAACTCTCACCTCAATCTCCCTTTTCTTTCTTAATATGAAATCATACGACTGACAAATACATGAATCATGAATCATGAATCAAGATGAGAGGATGATTCATATCCTAATATAGAAGACGAACCAAATGAATGAATTGAAAAATTTTAAATTTTCAAGGAGATGGAGAGGATGCAGTTCTCGTCATTAAATTGTAAATTATTGATTAAAAATTACACATTCATATCTATAATAAAACATTATAAACTTCAATTTCTTCTTCTTTTCAATATTCTAACCTAAAATTCTAGAAAATATTTTCTAAAACAAATTAAGCTGTTTTTTTTTTATATAGGGATTCAAATATTGAATAACCATCCTGTTATTGTCACAATCAAATAATTGGGGTTTAGACCCAAATAAACTTAATTTTAATTTATTGGACTCAATAATTTCAACAATTATTGTAAGTTAAGAGTTTTATAGAAAAAAGAATTTAATAGAAACTAAATTATGACTTTCTCAACATTTATATTATATTATATTATATTATATATATCATTTTATTCTTTTTCCAACTGTACCCTCTTGTTTTCTTCTCCCTCATTTTCTATTGGTTCTTACCTTAGACTCTCTCCCAAAATTTCTTCCATTTTTTCCGTTCCTGTTTTCTCCAATACCTCAACTCTCTCTCTGAAGATAAACCCACTTGATTTTCAACTGAAACCCAAATACATTGTGTAATTGCCGGCAGTTTTTGGACGGAATAATGGCCGGATTTGTGGCCAGCGACAGCGACAGCGACAGTCCACCAGATGGGGCTCTACTGGACTTTGTTCGAGATGTTGTTCGAATGTCGGCGGGGACGAACAGTCTAAAGGTTTTCAAAAAGGATTGCACCGATCTCATGCGTCGGATCGTGCTTTTGACGCATTTGTTTGAGGAAATCAGAGACTTTAATGGCGTCCAATTTCGACCTGTTCATACACCTTCTTCTTCTTCTTCTTCTTCTTCTTCTTCTTCTTCTTCTTCTTCTTCTTCTTCTTCTTCTTCTTCTTTTGGGAGTGATTCATCTCCGAGTCCGTGGCTGTGTGATTTGGTGGCGGCATTGAAGGATACTAAACGCCTTGTTTTCATCGCTTCGACTTTCCGGTCCTGCAGTTCTTCTTCTGTACGCGCTTTGTCTAATTTTCTTTTAATTTTCTGTTGGACTTCTGTTGAAATTGGGAGGGGGGAGATGAATTAGCAGCTTGAGGAATTTTAAGAGTAGTATCTCAACTTGATGGTGTTTATTATCATTTTCAGTCTCCTGCATTCATCTAAAACTAAATTTCACTTCACTTTCTTCTGGTTAGTAACATAGCTTTTCCGCTTCGAAGTTGTGCTTTATGGAGCTACTGATTGAATGAACGGCCACTTGTTTCTCACGATCTCACGTTTGGCTACTGATTTTCATTCACTAGTGGTGTTAGTTTCTCTACAAAATTTTGATGATGTTGATTTTTGTCATTCGGAGGACAACTGTGATGAACTTTAACTTTGAATGCTGTGGCACCGCTTTCACATATGCTACTTTTGGATGAACTTATTATCTGTCGTACAGCATTCACATATGCTACTTTTGGATGAACTTATTATCTGCGTGTACACGGTGTTAGTTAGACGAATCAAGAATCTAGAATGAGGAAAGACAAGATCGCTAGATTACTGGGTTATTGATCAGTGTTCATAGTTAGTTCTGTTATGATCTCCACGGCACAGGTGTTTAGTTGCAGATCGTAGCCATTTGATCATTCTCGTTATTTCAGACATTGACGTTCATGAATGTTTCTAAGATGTTTGTCCATCTTTTTCTTGTTGAATCAATAATGGGATGGTGTTGATAAGTCCAAATTTACCTTTTCTGAAATTTGTCTACGTTTTAATTTTAAGGAGGAAGTTACCAGGAAGATACTCTTCCAATTCCAATGTGTGACGCTGAAGTTAGAGAAGGCTTTGGGAAATCTTCCTTATGATCGCTTTGATATATCGGAGGAAGTTCAAGAACAGGTAGGATTCGACGGAAAAATGTACATAACTAGTTTTTGACTTTTCAAATTCTGAGCATACTCTAAAATCTTCTATTGATTCTGTAGGTTGAATTAGTGAGAGCTCAGTTGAGAAGAGCAGCAGAAAAATATGGCTCTCTGACCGCAATTCCTCCTTCAGTTGTTCAATCTCAGTTGCTAAAGAAAAACATGGATATGTTGAATCTGAACAACTGGGCTGATAACTTCGATGTTGAGGAGAATGGTGGTGTTGATCATGAGATTACAGTGAAATTTGATGAATTTCCAAATTGCAGAGGCTTCACGAATAATGGTGTGGATCAGCTGATTTTCGAAGGACTTGAGAAGAAACTTCCATCCTTCTCAGAGGCTTGTTCTGATGGACAGGATGACTCTACCAAAAAGAGTGGAGATCAGGTGAAGAACTCAGATGGAGTTTCAATACCTGATGATTTTTTATGCCCCATTTCCCTGGAAATAATGAGGGATCCTGTTATTGTGTCCACTGGACAGGTATGCTTAGTTGAATTCTATGATAATGATTACTTAGATATATCTTTTGAATTCTTTTATCGTTTTGGTCCTTGGAACTCATTCCATTTTAACTTTTAAAGTATAGGGACCAAAATAGAAATTTACCCTTTGATGAATTTGAGCTTAGTGTTGAAGAAACTTGGATTCTTTTATGCCTTTTCTAATAGTTCTCTTTCTAACAACACAGACGTATGAGAGATCTTATGTGCAAAGGTGGATAGATTGTGGGAATACTACTTGTCCCAAAACTCAGCAGAAACTCCAAAACTTGACTCTCACCCCAAATTATGTACTGCGAAGTCTTATTACTCAATGGTGTGTTGATCACAATATTGAGCAACCGACAGGATTAACCAATGGAAAGATCAAAAAGTGTGATGGATCATACCGTGATGTGTGCGAGGAGATGGCAGCCATTGAAACTCTGGTGCGCAAGCTAACTAGCCATTCGATCGCTGAGCAGAGAGCTTCTGTGACCGAACTTCGATCTCTATCAAAAAGAAGCACGGATAATAGAATTCTGATAGCTGAAGCAGGAGCAATACCAAATTTGGTCAATTTGTTAACTGCTGATGATGTTTTAATACAAGAGAATGCAGTTACTTCCATTCTCAACCTTTCAATATATGAGAACAACAAGGGACTGATTATGCTTGCTGGTGCAGTACCTTCCATTGTCCAAGTTCTGAGAGTTGGGAGCATGGAAGCGAGAGAAAATGCAGCAGCTACACTTTTCAGCTTGTCTCTTGCTGATGAAAATAGGATAATCATTGGTGCTTCTGGGGCCACTCCGGCTCTTGTGGATTTACTTGAAACTGGAAGCCCAAGAGGGAAAAAGGATGCTGCAACCGCACTATTTAATTTGTGTATTTATCAGGGGAATAAGGGAAGGGCTGTGAGGGCAGGGATCATCCCAGCTCTATTAAGGATGCTCAACGTCTCAGGTAACTCCATGGTCGACGAAGCTCTCACGATAATGTCGGTCCTAGCCAGCCATCAAGAAGCAAAAGTAGCGATGGTGAAAGCCAGTACCATACCTGTTCTAATAGATCTGCTGAGGACCGGATTGGCTCGCAACAAAGAAAATGCTGCTGCTATTTTGCTTGCTCTATGTAAACGAGATACCGACAACCTTTCTTGCATAAGTAGGCTTGGGGCAAAGATTCCGCTGACTGAGCTCTCCAAGAGCGGCACAGAGAGAGCAAAAAGGAAGGCTACCTCACTGTTGGAACATCTTGGAAAACTACAGCAGCTATAGAAAAGGTGTGGCTTTGTGAACAAGCATTTTCCATATTTTTCCCACTTTGAGTTCCCCATTACATTTTCAGCTCCTTGTTCTCTTTGATTGTGTTAACAAGGAATTAGGGATGAATGGCTAATGATGGCCACTTTCCTTGAATCTGTTTACTTCATTCCTTCATTATATTGTACAAGTGTGTATAAATTCATTTAACAAATTTGTGTTATAACAAGAAGGCGCTGTTTGGGAATACTTGGACTTTCTCACTCTATTTTCCCCCCTTTTTCATTGTCCAGTTCCTTCTTGTAACAACATTTTTTCAGTTTTCTCACCGTTCCTCATTCATCTTCTCATGTTGAGTGAAAATACGGAGGAACATTAAACCATAGATTCAGCCAAAAATGATTATCGTGCACAACATAGATAGCTGCATATGTATGATGAAGTTAACTAATAAATACATAGTGGGTTGTTAAAGGAACTGGAAATCTATCTATATTCTACAAAAGCAAGCTTGTACAAGATTCAAAGGTTCTAAATTGAAGTAAAAGTCCCATAACGTAGCACTTTCATGAATCTTGTTCTTCTCGATAATTAAGATGCCACTGCAATTTCAGTCCCTGCTTCCATTGTCGTCATGAAACTTACACGACGCTTCTGCAATTCCAACTTGTTCTTTTAAAAAAAAAGTTGTATAATACAAAAAATTGTATATATTTTTTTATGATTTAAAAATATTAGAAAAATTCCGTGTCATAAATAGTAAGAGAGGGAAGAGAATGAAGAAATAAAGTAATAAATGATATCAAATTTCATTAATGATAGTTTTGGATTTTACAAAACTATATTAATAATTAGGGGAAAGAAAAGGTTGCGTCTATTATACGATGGAAGAAAATTGTAGAAAAAGTTGAGCAATTAATGGCCCCGCACTATCTATTTAATGAATTTGATTGATATCTAACTATTTTTTTTTTTTTTTTAACTATTGAAAAAATAAGTTAACTTATAAATTTAGATCCATTTTGGTAGATATTTTGTAGAAAAAATAATTATGTAAAACAACGATGGTTAGGCTAAGAAAAAGATTGGCATTAATGGATTTTGAAGACAGAAACACTAATTAAATGAGAATAGTTGATAATTATTTTTAGATTTATTTATTTTTCATTAAATAATTTCAAATTGTAAAAGATATTATTGTTGGTGACTACTTTATTAATTTTGAAAAATAAAATTAGATGAAAATTCAAACTCCACTAATTATAGGATGGAAAAGTCTGAAAAGATAAGTTACACTAATTAATGGGTTAGAACAGGAAGCACTAACCAAATAACCAAATAACCCAATAACCAAATAACCAAATAAAAAGGGACTAATCTGATAGTGAACTCAACTTGGCAACCTAATTTTATTAAATACTATAAATGATATTACTATGGAGATTATCTAAAAGATAAATAACTTTAAATAACTATATCTTTTATTATTTTGAAAATTAATAACCATTAAAAATAGTCAATTTAAATATAATTTAGGAACTCGCCAAGATATTTTCTAAAAAGAAACAAATTTGAAGGTATAATATTCTATGGATATTTGTAACAAGAAGTTGATGTGGTTTTGGCAAAAACAAATAAAATAATAATAATAAATTAAAATATTGACTCATTGGATAGTGAGTGGGTCAACTTGGGGTCATCCATTTAAATTTACATCTTTTTCATTTAATTAATTTTATTTTATTTTTTAATTTTTAATTTTGGAACGCTTTTTCAAGGCTATAAGATGAAATCTATAAATTAAAAACAAAAAAAAAAGATTTATTGTGAAATAAAAGTGAATTATAAATTTAATTAAAGTAAAATGCAATAATAATAATAAAATAAAAGATAAAAAGTAAAAGGCATACGCACCTCACGTGGCTTGATGCCATCCTCCTCCTCTTTTGGCGAGGCACTTTGTGTGGTTTTATCCATGTAAAGTCCGTACAGTCCCACGATCTTCTCCGCCGCCTCTCCCTTATCTTTGCTTTCCTTCAACAGTTTCTCCACCTCCGCCCTCGGCAGCCTCACCTTCAGCCGTGTGGTTCCCGCTCCCGATGACCCCTCCCCGGCGTCCTCCTCCGCCAACACACTCTTTGGTTTCATGATAGTTAGGTCTGATGCGGAGCGCCGTGCCAGCATCAAACTCTCTAGCCTGTCCTTGGCGCTCATGTGGATTGCGGAACGTATGCGGCGTGGTGGCTGTATTAAGAATATGAATAAAAGGGTTAAATACTATAAATGATACAAGTGAAGTTTGTAATTTGATTACCGGTTGGTTTGGAAGCTTAGGCAGGTCCACGAGAAAATAGAGGCGCTTCCTGCTGAGGCTTTGGTGGGGTTCCAATGGCTTTGCGCGGACACCGTAGTGCTTCACAGCCTCGGAATCCAGCAGAACGAAGCCGGGATAATCTTTGACAACATCTCCGGCTTGAACCGGGGTGCTTAGCTTCATGGTTTCCCCGGAGACCTTCATCACCTTCACTGTCTTCTTACCTCCAAACGCGTTTCCCATGGCGCCCAAAAGGGAATGAGCGAAGATAGGCGGTGGGTGTGGCGTATAACACACAATCATTCAACTACATCTTATAATATACAACACTTTGTTTGATGGCTTGAGAAGTGGCTTCCTTTTTTTGGTCAAACAAAGAAGCCAACCCTACATGACTTCCCTTCCAACAAATATATTATAATCATACATGGGATGAGAGGTTTGAATCTTACACATCTCGAATTGATCGGGAATATATATTTTCTACTGCTCGAGCTATGCTTATGTTCTCATTTTATTAGACGCGCTTCATTAAACAAATGCTACTTTTGCTATAATATAGACGCATTGCGCTTCATTTTATTAGACGCGTTTGGCTCTCTGCACATTATTCAATTTCTCATACAATTTATAATTCTTTATGAATTTTAGAAAAGTTTAATTTTGTATTTTATATAATTATATAATAGTTTTATTATATTGGGACGTTACTAAAAAATGGGAATTGGTGAAGGCGTTAATCACGGGCATGGATCCAAGCATTAGTGTCTTCAAATTCTTCACATCCCTCCCCTAACCTTACACTTCTTTCCAACCCTCCAAACCAGTTTGATAGCGACCCCACTCATTTTCATGTACTTAAAACGCTAAAGTTGATTTTTAATACAATTTTTTATTTTATAACAGATACTTTTTTTATTTTTTTTATTTTGTGTGTATGGAACCCAACAGACACAAAAAGACAAGGAGGATTCTGAGGACACTGAAAAACGCCAAATTTGCAGTGACCTTGTCGGAGATTTGGCCTTAAAATTATCGTTGATTCTGTATACAGAATTATAACACTCAATTATCTATTTATTTGTAACCATAACCATAACCAAGTAAGATTGTAGGATGTGGTGTCAATTGTTGTTCCTTGCAAATGATGTATCCGTTGTGTACATGCTTCTACACGTTCTCAAAATGCTATGTCAGGGATAACTAGAGAGCTTCTGAATTGTTTATCTTTAATGACCTATGTGTATTGCAGTTGGCTCCTTTAGTTTTATGAAATTATCAAGTCATTAATACAACACGAAGATGAATCCCTTACGAGTCACGACATGCTCATCATATTTCTTGATTTACCATATGACCTCGTCAACATATACATACATATATTAAATCAATGAGGAGGAAAGTACAGCATCATTCATTATTACTACCAACCCCTCTTCCCCATATCTTCCTCTACTTTTCTTCCAAGTTCCATCTTCGCACCACCAAAATGCCTAAAAAGTCTCCGCCACTTTTTCTCTCTCTAAACAAAAACTGTTTATTCTCTCTCTCTCCTTCCATTTGAACAGAAAAGAACTGACCTTTTTCACTTTTTCAAAGCCCACCACCCATTATAGCTCTTATTCAAAGTTCACCTCAAAAGGGTTCATTTCAATTTGTCAAAATATTTGAAAAAAATTAAGTTTTCAAAATCTTAAACATAGATGACAATCACTACTTGAGAAAGAAACAAAATAAAATATTTATTTCAGATGTTCTTTTTAAAGTCCACTATGGGATTAGTTATTGTTTGTAATAAAATAAAGGTAACACAAACCCATAGCATATTTCAAGATAAAAAAAAGCAACACTAACACTCACACACGTACGTAAGGCTTACGTAAAATTTTCTTTTCTTAGTTCAGCCACGTGTTGGATGTTAATGAAGATTTCCCATTAGATTAAAGACCTAAATCTTTGTTTCTTTGTACACCACAACTCTAAGAGGTGAAAAGGGGTTTGACAATAGAATGAGAGGGATTCCTTCAGATTTATCTGCAATTGCAATCCCTTTATTGATCCACAAATGCTTTCATGGACAAAAGAATACAATGATCCATCATGAAATCAAGAACACCATTGATCAGGAACTGTGAGAAAATAAGAAGTCATTGCCTTCCGAAACCGTTTCTTGTATTGCATCGGAGAGATGATAGTTGGAGAAGCATTCCTCGGCCCTCCGAGTATCCCCGACGCCTTAACCCACGTCTCTAACTGCTTGTCCCATGTATACTGTCTCATGAAATCAATGATGCCTAACACAAGCTCCTTCCTCTCCTCGTCAACCCCGACCAAAAGCGAATAGTCCATAACGTCAATTGACTGAAGAACAACGTGAAAAATCAATATATTTGCTCCAACATGAAGAAATTATTAAGTACTGAATGCAAACAAACATCCATCTATCCATCCATCCAAGTTCATGCTCAGTTAATCCAAACCAAATGCAAAAACAAAGACTGATATCAGAATTCAAGAATGCAGCTTCTTACCGCCAAAAAATATGTGTCATTCCAGATGGCCCTTTCAAGATTTCTTTTGGCCTTGCTTCCAAGAAATATAGTTTTTGTCCGCAATGCTTCTAAAAGGTTCTGATCGAGTAGAACCTTGTCTGCCCCAGTCGTGTCCGGGTTGTAACGAGATCGTGAGGACCCCTTGAGGTCATAAACCTTTGAGATATTTCTCATGAAGAAAAGATTCTCCATCACCATCAAATCCATCTTCACTTCTTTCCCACCTTTCAGGTGTTTAACAGTCACCTGCCACAAATATCCCAAACACTTTGTAAACCAAAATAGTTATTTTTAATGGTTAAATTATAAATTTGGTTCTTATGATTTTGAGAAAGTTAGAATGTAGTTCATAAGGGTTCAAATGTTAGAAGTAGTTCCTAAATATTTTTACCTGATAGATCCCAAGAATTTTTGCGAGGCAAGTAGGACTTCCAGAGTTTAGAGCTAGTGACAAGTACTTGAAATATTGAGGAGCAAACTCCTCAAAAGAATCAAGCTCTGTTCTCGTGACTTGTTTTATAATGAATCTTTCATCCAAAGACTTGGCGAAGTATACATTACTTTTTCCACCTTGTGCACTCCATTTACGACACCGACTTAAAGACCTCACAAAATCCACACCTTTGGGGCAGCACTTCTTCCTAAGGATGTCAAATTGCTTTGCGAAATAGCAAGTCACAGAGAAATTGACTTTACCTCCAGATGTTGAAGATTCATCGGTGAACGAAATTCTCAAATGAGGAGATTTTTTGGGATCCGAAAACAGGGTCCTCAAGGTTGTAGAATCTTCAGAGCCATAGTTTCCATAGTGAATATAGTCCAAGTTCAGAGCACCAAAAGACTGCCAAGCTGAAAGAGTTGAAGGACGAGAATCTTCGATGATCCTGGGGACACTCCGACCTCCCTCATTGTCGGTAAATTTATTAGCAACCCAGTCATCATACTCTCTAGAGTTGAGGGCGTATGCAATTATGCTAGTAGGTTCATTGTCGTAAACAGCAATAACTGCATCAATATTGCCAGTCTGTGGAAGCAGCAGACGAACGCCTTCCGGGACATGAGATGCTGAGATAAAAGATGGAGTTGAACTGAGTAATAAATTTAACTTTTGTGTCTCAAATGGTAACACTTGAGAGTGAGCTCTAGTTAAACTGGAAACAGGATCCCTCGGCATACTATTGTAATCTGCAGAAGCATGGAAAGATCTAATTGTTGACAACTGAAAAGTGGATGGATCCAATCCTTTCCTGATTCTCTCTTGCATTCTTATTGCAGAATCAAAGGAATGAACTCTCACAGGTGACATCAATACCCTTCTCAGGTGAGGATTATCATTTTGACTCATTTGCTTCGTTGCCCCGTCTGGAGGTTCTTGTGCTTGCAGTGTAGAAACAGCCTGTGGTTTCGTCATAGCTTGCTCGGATCCAGACCATGCATAATCTATTCTCTCAGAGAGAGTTGATTCATAAGGAGGAATGCCTTCAATTGATGCTATTACGGCAGTAATTTCCTCATCTGTGTGTTCTTCTTCCCTGCAGACTTGATGTAAGGTTGATTTGGAGCATTCTAATGCTGTGGGCTCTTCCTTCTGCATTGATTGTAAATCATTTCCAGCAGACTTGTGGACCAAAGAAGATTCATGAATGTTCTCATTACAGCCAAATTCAATTTTGTCATCACTCTGAGCAGAATCTCTTTTCAAAACTCTCTTTAGAGGAGACGATACATCAGCCTTGGGATTTGAGATCTTTTTAAGGAGAGAATCTAGTGAATAAAGGCGGTGATCCCAGTAGTGTGTATGAATTAATAGGGAACGCCTCAAGCGATTTAGTTCCAGAATGTCGACAGAAATCATCCCCAGTAGCGAAGGTTCCATCATGAAAGGTTTCAGCAAACCCTATAAAATCAGCAATTAATTAGATATACCAATAAATATTAAACATCGATTCATATACAAATGTGCAATGACAAAAATACAAGTTTACGTTTTCAAATTGTTCTCAGCACTTACGATATAATCACTTCGCTCCTTTTGAATTAGTTCTTTCAGTTGCATGATGTGGCTTTGCATCTCACTCGAGTCTGACGATTCCTGCATGGACAACTTGCTTTTCTGTTCCATCCCATCAACAATATCAGAAATCTCTGCATACAAGCTTTCCATTTTGCCAATAATCTGATTGAAAGCCAATAAAGTACTTGAGTAAACAAAAGCAAGATTCTAAAATCATGTAAATTACATTCTGAATTCTCAAGACAACCTCTGAAGCTTCTTTTGATATCCATTCCTGTCGAACATGGCTATTGAACTCGAGCACAGAAGGGGGCAAGGTAACAGAGAGAATATCAATGGTCGAATATCTGAAGAACGCAACCATGCTCCCAAACCTGTGGAAATTTCGTATTCAGTGACAATCAACATCCAATAACAATTTTAAAACTAATGCTGAACTCAGATGCCCAACACACCCATAGAAACGGAGGCAGTCTCTCTGCAATGAATGACCACAAGTTGCAACTCGATTTGCAGTTGCATGGTTTGAGAAACTAAGCTCCAAAAATTTTCCAAAAGAAAGCCCCCAGGCAGCATCAGACATAATAACCCTAGGAGTTGCTGGGGGGACTCCATCTATTTGGGCGCACTTGAGGCACCTGTGCCACATCCATATCCTGCCATCTTCTTCCCCAGGAAGCTTTATAGAGGGTAGGCGTCTAACATTAATTGTAAGATTACCCTGCTGATGGGTGTAACACTGAACGTGGGCCTCAGTGGACTCCTTACAGGATCGACAGCTTGATGTCTGCAGCAAGAACCCAAACCACAATTACTCAGCTACCCAGAGAAGTCAACTTTATGTTTCAATTGGATATATACGGAATAAAGAAATAAAATAAACCTGGGCAAAGAGATCATCACATAGGAATTTCCCCAAAGGCTTGTCGAAACGGCCATAAAACTTTATGCGCAAAAGACGAGAGCGCTCACATACAGTTCCTTTAAGTACACAATGGCTTGAAAAGGATACCAAAATGCTCTGGTGAGTATCTGCTGCTGAGAAGCATTCACTAGAGAGATCATTTTCATCAAAACTTTCAGACTTCTGAAACTCTGTAATCCCTCCAGATTTCTCCCTTCTCCGTTCCAAAGTTTCTGCCAATTCAGATTCAGAAAGACTTCGAACATCGAAGGGAACTGTTTCACCATCCTTTAATTCCTCATAATGACTAAGAGATGGATTTAGACCAACATCGGATAGTGAATGATCATTGAATATGCCAGGAAATGTATCAACGATGCTAGACTCTTCTTCAAAGCCAGTAGACAGTAGAAAGTTATTATTATCAAGGTGGTGATACATTGGATATATTTTAGATTCTTCAAGCTCAGCACTAAGAGCAGAAACTTTATATCCAGTGGAGACATCAACTAGACAATCGGATGACATTGTAACATCGGGATTCCCAGATGATGAATTATCTTCAACAGAAAGAGAGCGCTTTGGCATCTTAGGCAGAGAAGCACCTTCGTCCACAAGAAAGGAAGTCTCAAGAGATAAGTGATATGCTGCAAATACTGCATATTGAACAACATGTTTAACTTTTTTAAGTTCTTCACGACACATGCCTTTCAGCAAGACCTATGATAAGAATTGTGACATGATTAGAAGCAAAACAGAAGTTCTAAAAAATAACATTTTTCTAAGTCCACAGGATTCATATCATGACTCCTTTGACAATCAGCATAAGCTATTTACATAACCAAAAAACCAAATATTTTGTTTCTATGAGTTGTCTTTTTGTTTACTAAATAACTATTCATCGACATTTTTTACACACGAAACAAGAACATCTTAAAGAAAATTGAAAGGTTGCGATATAGTAAAACACTCACTTTAGAAGTATTACAACAAGGTACCAAAATAGATTCATCAACATATTAAAGCATAAGCGAATATTGATGCATTATATTATTTAGTTTGTATAAGAAAGAAAACATAACTAAAGACAGAAAAGTTAAACAAGTCCTAAATTAAAACTCAATGAAAAAAGGGTGTTCAAAAGTAGCCAACAAAAACATTTTGAAAAAGTATCCACAAGAAACCAAATAATTTTCTAGCTAGAATTACCGTGCAACCCAAGCGCTTTGGACATCCTTCAAAGAACATCAAAGTCTTGGACATTTTTTTATTTTGATTGACAGTCCCATACTCTTCAGTCACTCTTTCTAACCGGAAAAGTTCACAATGTCCTAATCGTGAAATGGACATATGATCAATTGATGGAGTAAGTGAAGCACCAGTGCAACGGGCTATACGCTCTAGTAAGGGCCTTTTAACATTCAGCACCAGAGATATTTCCTTGGCCAGCAGATATTCCTGTGCACGTGAAGAAACACTTTTTTCCACCAGCAGAACATTGGGGCGGAGAGACTCTATTTTTGAAATAATTGTTTTCAGATGATCATTTTCCTGCAAAAATAGGATGCAGAAAAATAAGAAGTCAAAAAAAAAAAAAAAAAAAAAAAAAAAAAAAAAAAAAAAAAAA